TGCAGCAGCGACATATACGATCAGCATATTTTTTTTTTATTAAACCTACCCTCTGTACTCCCTTTGCTATACTACTTCTGTGGGGTTTTGCAAGCCAGCATGCTTGTGGGCAATGGATAAAGATGGGGCAGCCCTACACCCTGATCGTTGGGGGAAGGAGAATCCCATACTGGGGCTTGTTGCTGGTGGGTAGAGAGGTGGCCAGTTTCTCCATCCCATGTGTGGCTGATGTTTAGGAGGAAAAACCAGCCTGGTTTGTTCCTGCACAGGCTAGACGGCCATCCGACAGCAATGCGGATTCTGTGAATTTGGGCAGATCATGAGAAGGGAGGGCAGGAAGGGTTGCCTCAGGGCTTAGTTCTTGTAGCCCTTTCTTAACATGCCCAGGGAAATGCTGATCACCACTTTGGGGTCAGGAAGCCATATTTCTTCAGGCCAGGTTTGCTGAAGATCCTGGAGGCTTTTTGTCATCTTCTGGGCGTGGAACGGGGGTCGCTGGCAATGCCCCCTCTAAGCTGTGGAGTCTTGTGAGCAAAAAAATCTGCTTTGTGAACTCCTGGCATTAAAGTTGTGAGCGAGCGATTTGGCTGCTGCATGAATTAGTTTTCTCTGGAGCCCCATCCCTTCCTGAGCGAAGACAAAAATGTGTGAGCCGGAGGCTAACAAACTGTGAGCTAGCTCACACTCGCTCAGCTGAGAGGGAGCACTGGTCACTGGGTGTGTGTGTGTGGGGGGGAGGTATTTGTGAATTCCCTTCATTGAGTGGGGGGTTGGACTAGATGGCCCTTCTAACTCTGTGATTCTGTGATTCCAGGGGCGTGAAGGGATGACTTGCTACTACCTGACGCATGGCTGGGCGGGCCTCATAGTTGTGGTGGAAAACAGGCACCCCAAATCTTACCTGCACGTCCAGTGCGACTGCACAGACAGCTTCAATGTGGTGTCGACGCGGGGCAGCCTGAAGACGCAGGACAGCGTGCCCCCGTTGCACAGGTGAGGGGGGAGTGCAGGTCAGGTGCTTAGAGCGACGGAGTGTTCAGAGGGGACCTGTTGTCCCCTCCGATGCATGTTAAGTGGTGTACGTGGAAGGAGTGGAGCAGAACTGGAGAGGTAGTGAGTCTCAAAGAGCCAGTTTGGTGTCGTGGTTAGGAGCGCGGACTCTAATCTGGGAGAACCGGGTTTGATTCCCCACTCCTCCTCCACATGCAGCTGCTGGTGTGACCTTGGGTCAGTCACAAGTTCTCTCAGAGCTGTTCTCTCAAGAGCAGTCCTCGAGAGAGCTCTCTCAGACCCACCAACCTCACAGGGTGGCTGTTGTGGGGAGGGAAAGGGAAGGGAGATTGTAAGCCCCTCTGAGACTCCTTCGGGTAGTGAAGGGCAGGGTATAAATCCAATCTGCTAGAGCTAGTTTGGTGTAGTGGTTGAAGTGCAGGCGGACTCTAATCTGGGAAAACCGGGTTTGATTCCCCACTCCTCCTCCACTTGCAGCTGGCTGGATGACCTTGGGCAAGCCATAGTTCTGGCACAGCTGTTCTTGAAAAAGAGCAGTGTCTGTCAAGAGCTCTCTCAGCCCCACCGACCTCACAGGGGTGCCTGTTGTGGGGAGGGGAAGGGAAAGGAGTTTGTAAGCCACTCTGAGACACCTTTGGGTAGTGAAGGGTGGGGTATAAATCCAATCTCTTCTTCTTCTTCTATGTTCTTCTCTTCTCCTCCTCCTCTCAGTTTGCAAGGAGGCCAGCTGAGCCTAATATAAGGGCCAGTTCCCCCTTCTCCGTACACACATGGCCCACTGACATATCCAGATGCCTTAATGCGCAACAAAAAACTGGGGAAGGGCGCAGAAAGAGCAAGCTTTAACATTTCTTCTCCTGTCCATCCTCGCAGTGGTGTGCATGGTTCTCCTCATAACAGCCCTGTGAGGCAGGCTAGGCTAAGGGAGGAGGACTGGCTGAAGGTCACATGTCCTTTCCCAAGGGGTTGCCGTGTGTGTGTGACCCCTTGGTAAGCCGGCTGGCTGAGTTGCTCTGCCCCACGGAGGAGACTGCAGGGAACCGCAGATAAGCGGCTGGTTAGAAATTCCTGGCTTTCTTTTCCACCCAAAAGGGTAGGAGATGTTAAAAAGATTTGGCCCCTGGCCAGCCGTTGCACTACTTGGTGGCAGTGGTGGGACAGCACCAACCTGGTCCAGGGTGAGTCGGTCCTTACAGCAGGTTACACTCCCGGGCAAAAGTGCAAAGACTCGGTGCCGGTGTGGCATTCACAGCCCCTGGAAGAGGTCAGGAACCTTCTGTCTTCGCCCACCCAGAGGGTTGACCCTTTGCACATTTTAAAATGCTTCAGAAAACTTGGTGTGTCGGTAGTGTGTGGCCGACCCGTTGAAGCAGGGGTAACTACTAGGGGTCAATTTGGTGTAGTGGTTGGTTAAGAGTGGCGGCCTCTAATCCGGAGAACCGTGTTTGATTCCCCACTCTTCCGCATAAAGTCAGCTGGGTGACTTTGGGTCAATCACAGTTCTCGCAAAGCTGTTCTAGAAAGAGCGGTCCTCGAAGGAGCTCTCTCAGCCCCACCTCCCTCACAGGGTGTCTGTTGTGTGGAGAGGAAGGGAAAGGAGACTGTAAGCCATTCTGAAACTACAAGTGAAGGGCAGGTATAAATCCTCCTCCTCTTCCTTCTTGTCAGAGCTCTCTCGGCCCCACCCACCTCACAGGGGTGCCTGTTGTGGGGAGGGGAAGGGAAAGGAGATTGTCGGCCGTTCTGAGACTCCGAGTGAAGGGTGGGGGTATACATCCAATCTCCTCCTTCTACGTGTGTTTCTGTGCCTCTGCCATTCACTCTTCACGCCAACACTCTTCTTCCTTTCTTTCTTTCTTTCTTTCTTTCTTTCTTTAATCCTCCAGACAGGTGCTGGTGATTCTGTCTCAGCTGGAAGGCAACGCCGGCTTCTCCATCACCCACCGCCTGGCACACCGGAAAGCCACCCAGGCCTTCCTCAACGACTGGATGTCCACCAAGGGGACACCCCCCCCGCCGCTGACACCCGACGTGGCAGGGCTCCACGGGCCCCGGCCCCTATGACAAATGGCCCTGTCCCCCGTGCCGCTTTTCCGCTTCTGCCTTTTCCCGGGACCCATCTGCCTCGGGCGTTGCCCGAGCCGCCATTACTGAGCCGTCAGGGCTGAGGAGGAGGAGGAGGACGACGATGACCCCCGTGGACCGGGGTGTCTCAAGCCAAGCGCCTTTCCTCCCCCCCCCCAGGAGTCAGGCAGGGAGCTGCTCAGGTTCCCCTCTCCCTTGCAAGCCCCCCGCCCATTTCCCCTCCCCCCTCCCCCACAAATCATGCACTTTATCCAGAGCTGCTGTCACAATGGGAGACCAAGGGAATTTCACAGTCTGGAGGAAGGGCCAGTCCCACCTTATCGGATGCTCCCGGACACACGGAATCCTGGGACTTGGCTCTCCCCGCAGCCGCCGAAAACCCCTGCGGCTGCAACAATATACCTCTGGCCACTGTGTCTCTGTGTGTGCGCGTGTGTATGTGTGTGTCTGCCTTGCCCCACTGTGAGTCGTGTCGGCTGGGGCCGGCCTGAGGTCGGGGGAAGGGGGTGGGAATTTATAGCCTCTTCTCTTTCTCGCTGTCTACCAAGATCGCCATAGTCGGTTGCTGGCTTTCCGTTGAAAATACCGTTGGTATCCATTGAAAAGACCGTTGTGCTGTTCGGACTGATGTGCCTATTTTGGCCCCCGTCTCCCCGGGATGGTGGAGTAGCAAAGCAGGGCTCGTTCAACATAGGCTCAAGCCATCCTTGCAGCTAGCTTACTCGCCTAGGGCGAGCAGCGGTGCCTGCTGGGCGAGGGGCAGGTTTGACTCAGAACACTCCTGCCTCCTTGCAACGCACAGGGAGGGTGGGTGGGCTCATGGAAAACCTTGCACCGGCGGGTAACTTCCTTTTCCTGTTCTTCTTTGAATAGCTGGCCTAAGGGTGCGCAGTGGACTTGTTTTGACTACGTAGGGCCGTGGATAAGATCCATTTCCCTTCCTCTACAGGTGCCCCTCAGAAGAAAGCTCATGTAAAGAAAGGCAGGTAGGCAGTGAGGCGGGAGGAACGCCCCTTTCCCTGCCGGCTAAAAGCCATTTCCCCCCACCCGCAAGGGGCACAGCTGGAGGTGTGTGCCCCTGAGACTTAAATGCAGCATTTTTGGTTTTCTGCAATGTGCCAGAGTTTGTGTGTCACTGGGAGGGGGGCTCCCACAAGAAGGTTGGACAAAGGCGCCTGGATCTTGCACAAGGGCTAAGCGAGTTCGTTTGCATGGCACTTCCGAGCCGCACGGGACAGAGGTGTTGGGGCACTACCCATTTCTGTCCCTGGCTGTCTGCCGGCCAGGAGGAGCCAAGCCGTAACTTGGACGTGGAGGGAAGCGGAGGCTGCTGTCTTTCCCAAGGGTGCCTTCCGTGCTTGCCGTTCAGCACTAACCCGAAAGCCGGCAGGCGAGCGTGTTGTAAAACGTTCACAGCTCGGTTTGGAAGCGTAGCCCTTTTGCCCTCTTTCCCCCGTCTGCTTTAGTGATGGATGCTCAGCCCTGCCATCTCCTGACTCTGCAGACAGGACTTCCTTTATCCATCTCTGTGGGGACTGCGCGGGCCCCCCCGACCCCCCCCCAGGGACCCTCGTGCTGGGGAGGAGCCGGCGGAGGCTGTGGGACGGAGACGCGTCAGAGACCGAGGGGCTCGTGTCGATCCCAGGCCAAGCGAGGGAGGCTGAGCGTGGCGGACAGAGCTGTCTGTGGCCCCGGGACTCGGTAACAGGGTATTGGGGACAGGGTTTTCGGGTCCAGGCAATGGGCTTGAGCACAAGGCCACCCCCGGGAGGGGCGGGTGGCGTTTCCTCACTCACTTAATTGATTCGGGCACAGGGTCGGTGTGGCATGCACCCCGGGAAGAGTCGGGGTCTCTCCCCCGCAACAGGATCTTCCCTCCCCTCCCCTTCCGCAGCTCTAGAGCACGTCCGAGCCCTGTGTCGAGCATGGCCCCGTTGCTTTGCACGAGCCGACGGGCACAGAGAACCCAGGTCTTTCCGCTCTCCCTCCCTTCACGTGCGCATCGTGCATCGACCCGTTGGCTTGCGGCACATCCGAGGGCGAGCAGGAAGGTAAAGGGGGGGGGGGGGATGTAGTGGTTGCAAACCGCTTCCGAGAATCTTTGCCGGTGGCTCAGTTTGTCCTGAACCTGGCCTGCATCATCCCTCGCTACCCCACCCCACCCCCCCCGTTCGCCCTTTGGTTCAGCACGGCCAGACCCGACCACGAGCACTTCCCCGGGATGGGGCTTTGGGGCTCTCTGGTTTCACTGGGCCACGGGTGGCAATGCTGCTGCTCACGGGGAGGGGGGGGGGAGAGATGACCAGAGCGCACCGCCAAAAGACGGCTCTCGATTGGCGATTCGGGACTGCGCGTCGTTTTTCCAGCTCTTTGGTTTCTCAAGGAGATAGACACCCTCCCTCCCTTGAGCCCCGTTTCAGTTCCGCTTCCAAGAACAATCGCTGTCTTCCCAGGCAGGGCACCTATTCTTTTAATAGCTGCGTGGCAGGCAGAAACTCCACAGGGGAAGCTTCCACTCCACACACACACACACACGCAGAGATGTCAACCTTTCATCTGTGTCTGCCCTGTAACTGCTAAAGGCTCAGGCGCCCCTGCCGGGAGAAGACGGCAGCTTCCTCTCTTGGTGGAGGCTATCAAAGTTTGCACTGGGGGGGGGGGTTCTCCTGCAGTGTCTTCTGGGAAATGCAGTTCTCTGTAGCTTTAAGGCGGGTGCGTTGGAAAGGTGCCACTGTGGTGGGGGGAGTGGTTGGAAGGGACGGGGTTGTCCCGTGTGCATGTTCTTTCTCAAAGGGATTGGGTGCCCAGGACTTCCTCGGGAGACATCCAGTGTCGTCAGTGGCCTGATCCTGTATCGAGAAGCAGTTGAGCTGGAGCAGCTGTTATTGCAGCCAGGTCCTTGAAAGCATCTACCTCCGGGGGGGCGCATTCGCACTGCACACCGAAACAGGTTTAGTACTCCCCCCCCCCGAGCCCTGGCAAGGTAACAATCTTGGATAAGAGAATTTTCTGCTCCT